ATATACAAGATGCAGGGTACTGGAATCAAATACAGTGACAAACGGGGTTGTACCATAGGGAAAGAACATACAAAGAAACAAAAAAATCACATAGTACATTATAAGTGTATGTATACATCTTTAGGTGACAACCCTGTCAGACTGCATTAGGGCCTACCCAAGTAGCTTCATTTTAAACTCATCACCTTTTGAAAGCTCTTGTTTCCAAATATAGTCATATTCTGAGTTACAAATTCTAAAACTTTTAACATGTGAGAGTATACAACCAGCCCATGATAGGAAAGAATGGCTGGCATCTTTCCCATTGTCTCAATGCACTAGCAACAATGTGTTATGCACAGATGAGATGCACAGAAGCCACTGTATTTTCCAGTGTTTACCTGAAAATCCTATTGCTTGCAAAGGAAATTATAATTGAGTTTAATCTTGAAATTCTAAGGAATGCTAGATTTTGAAGGGAAATAATAAATGTAAATAGAACTAGTTTAGAGGTAAAGGTAGATGGAATGCACCAAAGAGTCGACCCTTAAGAAAATTCTAGGAGTTCTAAACTGCATCCAGGTGGAAAAAGAACCTTTGCAATAGATGAATAGGGAAAATCTAATTTATTTAATAAATTCAGTACCATATCTTCCTAATTTCTAACCTATTCTGGATTTGAGAACTAAATGTCCATAGGGGAAGGTATCATTATGTTGATATAAACTATTGCTCATTAAATCTTGTGGTCAGTCACCATGACAGGGGTTGTCTACCCACTATTTATATTCCAGTGGTTCACAAAATTGGTTTGACTAAGATCATGTGTCCATATCAATACCACAGATGGGGTGGCTTCGAAAACAAATGTTAATTTCCCAGTGTTCTGGTGGCTGAAAAGTTTATGAGCGAGTTAGAGGCAAATTTCATTTCTGGTGATGATTTTCTTGTAGACATAGTCTTTTTGCTTGATCACGTTGTGGAGGGAGAGGAAAGAGTGCTCAAACATTCTGGTCCTTTCTTAGAAAAGCATCAATTCAATCCTAAGATCACATCCTAATGATTTCATTTAAATGAATTATCTGCTCAAGACTCCATTTTCCAAATCACTGCAAAGGAGTTTGAAATTTCAGCCTCTGAATTTTGCAAGAACGCAAGTATTATAAGCATAAAAAGGTTTATCAAACTCAAATGACTAATAAAGAATCAGCAAGCACTGTATTCATATACAACTTTGGTAAATGGCAAAACAAGTACTGAAGTCGAATTTTGAAGTAAAAATAAAATTTTAAAAAGATTAAAAAAAAGAATCAGCAATACTCACATATGTGTAAGGCAGTAAATGACCGGAAGATCAGAGGTCTAAAAAGACTTTTTGTCTGAATTAATGTAAGAGCCCAGGCTGTTCCTACTCTCATGGAGAACCTGACCTTGTTTACCTCTACTCACTTTATACGTCACTACTGCAAAATTATATCTGAGTCAATTTTATTGAAAAGATCATATGCTCAAAGTATTGGATATGAATCCAGAGCCAGAGAAATACGACTTTCAGAATTAATGAGGGAGTTGAAAAATCATAATGAAGAAAGTAATATTTGGTAAGAATAGTCATAGCTACACATCGTTAGTTAACTTTAAGAGAATGAGATGTCATGCAATCATTTATCTCGGCCCATTTTCCATAATTAGTATATTCCCTAGAACAAAAGGAAGTAAATAGTATTATACCCACCTCTGGTCCTCAGCTCCATCCAGACCTGAACTCCTCCCTGTCCAGGAGTTTCTGCCCTACAGCTGGCCACTTCCTCTCTCCAGCCAGACCCACGGCGCACACGTTTTACCTCACTTCCGCCCTCACTTCCTCCAGACCCACCCATGACTTAGATTGGGGTAGACACCATGTGCTTCCTCTCCCGGGGAGATATAGCCCCTCTAATAAACCTTACAATGTTTCCCTGTGCCTGATTGACTTCCGCATGGTTGCCTGGGAGGGTCCTGAAGGATCCTTTCAGTAAAGAACTGAGTTTGTGTGTAAAGATATCTTACGGCCACCACCTGTTACAAGCCCCTCTTCTCTGTGTACTCTGTTCTTTAGCTTGCCCATATCACACTACTCAATAGACATACGTACATGGTTTCTTTGTGCCATGTAAAAAATACAACTCGAGTTTGCATGCATGTAGCATTTAACAGTAAATTTTTCAGTAGTGATCCATAAACCAGATGAGAGCCTGGTTTAATGCTCAGAATATGCAGTCCTACAAGGGTCCAGTCATAGATTTCCCATAAATTGCTATTATACATGGATGACTGACAGACGGTTTCCATTGGGGTGGTTGTTTTTTTCCCCCCTCAAGGATGGTCTTCTTCCATTTGATTCACAGTTTTGCTTCAGATTTTATTGTAATTAATTAGACTTTCCTGCACGGATTGCCTTCGAGCCATGATCCTTAGATCTCAGGCTCCTGCATAGCTAGTACTACAGGTATTAGCTACTGTCGTTTGGATTTTAATTTCTTTTTTAATATATCGCTCTCTTCCTTCTCTGTTAGTGCCTGGCCTTTTTTTTTTTTAATACATCACTCTCTCCCCTATCCTTTTTCTGTACGCTCTCCTTTTTGTGGTTTTGTAGACCTTATACTTTCTTGTCAAGCGGCTCTATCTTGGGCCATACCTGGGGGGCTAGGGTAACTTCAGAAGGAGGATCTAGAAATGCTAGGATCTCACTTTAAGGGGGAGTGGCAGAGGGAGGGGTAGAGGGAAGAATCTAAACTCTAGGACCAATCAAGTCTTAATGTTCTGAGATGGCCAGTCACATCCACCAGAACAGAGGGGGCGATAGAGTTGCTGCTCATGTGCGTCAGTCTCTCCCTAGGACCCTTTCTTTGGTGGTGCCTCACTTCCTGCCTGCGGAGAAGCCATTTCAGGAAGGTGAGGAGCTCCGACTGCGGTTGCCGGTTAGACTGAGAGAAAGCTCAATTTTTATGAGAAGTGAAGGTATGGAACTTAAAAGATACAGAGAGAAACTTCTTACCTAAATAGAGGATCACTGTCTCTCCCCCAAAACTGTGTCCTTGTTCATAGGGCGTAAAGGGCATAAGGAGACGGTCCCATTAGGGTCCTTGCCCAATTCCGCTTCTAGTGTTTCGGGAACATGAGGTAAAAAAAGAACATGGCTCCGTTTAGACGCAGTCAGCAATATTCAAAAAAATAACAATATAATAAAGGCAAAAAAATGTTGGTTTTGTTGTTGTTTTTTTTTTTTTTGCATGGAGACTCTTGGTGGCTCTCATTATTCCTGGCCATAGAGGTAGGTCTATGTTAACTTTTTGTTTGTTTTTTTCCCAACTTGATGGTATGGAGAATGGAGGACTTTGGCCTAAAGGACAGTTCGGAGGAAACGGGGTGGAGGTTAAAGTCAGAAATAGAAATAGTAACTAAGATTGGAGGCTGGCTCAGTTGGTCTTGAGTGAATACCCTGTATCTCCAAAGGGAAAAAGAGGGGGGGGGAGAAAAGAGGAGTACCATGTTCACAGGGATTCAAGGGCAGAACCACCTTGTTTAGGTTTTGAGGGAATGGGTTTTCAGAAGAGTTAGGCAGCCCACAGCCAGCCCCTGCTATCAGTCCTGGGAGATCCCAAGCAGTCTATTGGGCTAACGTATACAAGAATGGTCTCAGTAAACTCAGGGCCTCAGTCACAGTGAAGGATCTTCAGATCAGCATAGGGAAGCTTCACATAAAGCAGCTTGTAAGCCTTTTCTCCTGCACCATTAGGGGAAGGGTGGGAAAAGTAAAGAAGATGGTCTAAAGCATTATAGCCTTTGATCAGTACTAAAGTGAGGACCATTATTTTACACCAGCTTTAAGAAGGGAGTAAACAATTAGTTCCTTACTCAAAGCCTTGTACAGTTATTAGATGCTAAGGTGGCCATTATATTCTGTGAAGGAGTATCAAGAGATGGGTAGGAGAAAGAAAGAATGCTAAGTGAAGGATTTAGAAGTTAAGAGAACATTTAAGGGGACCTTTCACCATTGAATAGATAATCAAGAGCCCATCCATCTACTCAATCCTGGAACTTCCACAACAGGACTGTCATCCTGAGGCTAAAATTTATATCTAATCACTTATTTACATTTAATCCAACAGATACAAAAACTGACAGACGGGACAGACATACATTGACAAGGTGAAGCGGGTACCAACTAGAGTTGAGGTAAGTTCCCAGAAAGCATCTGACATACCCAAGTAACTGAAAATGAAGAGGGCTCCACATAACTCCAAGAGGCTTTCTTTAACAGGCATGACAAGCCGGCAGGCTGGCAAGTTTCTTCACTTCCTCTGGTATGATCTTGGATGTGTTAGATATTTTTTGTGCCCATCCTAGGGCTACAATTTAGGGCATGGGTGCTGTCATTTACTTTTTTGCTGAATGCTAGTACTCTATCACTTGAACCACAGTTCCACTTCCAGCAGTTTTGTTTTGTTTAATTTTGTTGTTATTTTATTAGAGATAAAGGTCATGGACTTTCATGCTCGGGCTGACTTCAAATCATGTTTCTTAGATCTCAGCCTTCTGAGCTTCTAGGATTACAAGCATGAGCCACTGGTGCCTGGCAGACATGTTAGAGTTTTGTTGAAGAGGTCAACTTCAGAGCAGCATAAGAGAAAAAGCCAGAACTTGCTCATACTTGATGTGATGATTCTGAATATGACGTTGGAGGATCCTGAAGTCTCAAAATAGAGGTCTTTTCCTACCAATACCTATTTAGTAACACCCCATCCCACTCCATGCAGGAATGGTATGATATGGCTTAAGGCAGCCTGTCTGATTAGAACAGCGGCTATGTGAATTACCAAAGCAATGAGCTTATGGGAAGTTCTAGAGGAGTTTTTGGTTAAAGCTAATTCACTATCTACCTGTGGAACATGCTTCCAGTATTTTTTTTATTCTACAGGTGCCTGCAAATCCAATTATTCTGCTCATAGCACTTCCTGTTGTCCCTAACAAAGGTCATCATGCCTCGCGGTCAGAAGAGTAAGCTCCATGCTCGTGAGAAACGCCGCCAGAACCGAGGCCATGCTCAGGGTTCTAAGGGTGCTCAGCAAACAGCAGTGGCAGCAGCAGAGCCCACTTCACCCTCCACAAGTGCTGCTGAGTCATGTAACATTCCCCAGGGGCTTGAAGCACCATCTACCACAGTTCGTAGAGGTAGACGTAGACGTGATGTTGGTTCTACACCATCATCTACTGCACCTACTGATGTGGGTATTTCTGCAGCAAAATCTATTGCCCCTACTGATATGGCTGTTTCTGTTTCAACATCTGCTGCCTCTACCGAGTTGCATGCTTCTACACCACCAGTTATGGCTCCTTCTGATGAAGGTTGTTCTGGTGTTCCATCTATTGCCTCTACTGATGAAGATGTTTCTGATACTGAATCTGTTGGTACCACTTGTTTGGATGTGTTTGACACTAAGTCTCTTACAGAATCTACATCTGTAGGTGAAGAAGGTACAAGCCTTTCTGATGAAGATTACTCTAATAAGTTTACACATCTAGATCATGTATCCAAAGAAGTTCTAATGGTAGAACAGCTACTACTCCACAAGTACAATATGAAGCAGTTTACTACTAAGGAAGATATGTTGAGTATCATCAGCCAAAACTATACAAAGGACTTTGATGAGATCTTCAAGAGAGCCTCTGATCACCTCTCTGCTGTCTTTGCAGTTGAAGTAAGAGAAGTGAACTCTGACACATACAACCTTATCAGCAAGCTGAGACTCCCAAACAATGGGAGAGTTCGTGCTGGCAAAGGCTTCCCCAAGACTGGTCTTGTGATGAATGTGCTGGCTATGATATTATTGAAAGGAAACTCTGCCACTGAGGAAGATATCTGGAAATTCCTGAAGTTGATGCGTGTGTATCATGGGAAGAAGCACTATGTATTCGGAGAACCCAAGAAGCTCATCACCCAAGATTTGGTGAGGTTGAAGTACCTGGAGTCCCGGCAGGTGCCCAACAGTGATCCTCAATGCTATGAGTTCCGGTGGGGTCCCCAAGCTCATGCTGAAACCAGCAAGGATGAAGTCTTGCACTTCTTGTCTAAGATCAATGAAACCGCCCCTACATTTTTTGCCACCCTCTATGAAGAGGTTGTGAAAAGTGAGAAAGATGAAACCGTGAGCATAGAAGTACGCCAGCCTAGCACCACTGCTCAAGCATCTGCAGTTCCTGGTCTCTCTCCTTCCGAAGTTATTTCTTCCCTGGTTGAATCTGAACCTGAAAGACTGTCCAAATAAGAAAATATAACAATCATCATAGGGATTTTGTTGAAAATATAAGAATGTGGAATACAGTTGAGGGAAAAAGTTAAACATGTTTAATTTTTGTAGTTTTGTGTTGCTCGCACTGTTGTTTGGTAAAATTTAATGTTTCAAAGTTTTTCTTGGAATGAATTAAAAATAAAAAGAGAATTGTGCATAGTTAATTGTTTCTAAATGCTTATTCGTCAAATATTTATTGAGAATATTCTCTTTGTAAGAGCATGTAGATTACCTGGATGTTAAGGTAACAACCTGGGCCCTGTTTATAGACATTTTGAGCCAAAGAGATGTAATTTTGAAAGGAAAGTGTTCGCTTGGCAGTGGTGGCTCATGTTTGCAATCCTAGTTGCTAAGGAGGCTGAGATTTGAGGATCATAGTTCAAAGACAGCCCAGGTAATAAAGTCAGTGAGACTCTTATCTCCAATAAACTACCAAAAAAAACCCCAAAAGTGGAGCTGTGCCTCCTAGCATTGTGCACAAAAACTCAGAGGGGATAGCACCCAGGCCCCAAGTTCAAGCCCCAGGATCAATACCTGCCCCCCCCAAAAGGGGGAAAATGTTCAACTATCATCTATAAGAGGGTGTTTTGTATGAAAACAATTAAGTGGAAATGAACAGTATGAGGCTTTTGGGATTTGCATAATTGTGAGTCAGGATTGCAATGGAATTTTTATGTAACCTGGGTGGAGGAGATGTTGAATAATTACCTTGTCCCAAGAAGGTGTCTCATAGCTGAGCAATAAAATCCTAAAGGTCTGTTTTTGTCTTAAAAATTGTTGGAGACTGAAGGTGGAATTGCCAGTGATAGAGGATAAGGACAAATGTAGATCTAATAGATTCTTAATTCTCATAGTTCTGGAAGCTGGGAAGTCCCAAATCAAGATGCCAGCAGATTCAGTTCCTAAGCAGGTTACCTTCCTGGTTTGTTTATTTAACTCTGAGCTCACTTACATTGGGGATAACGATAGGAGAGGGATAAAAAACAGTGAACAAATGGGCTTGGAAAAAGGGGGAAGAATAAGAGTTCTAGTCTCTCTTCTGCATGTTGTAGGAACACTACTCCAATACCGAGGCCCACACTAATAAGGTTATCTAAATTTACTTACTTACTCAAAACATATTTCAATGCAAGTGCACTAGTTTACAACAAAACCACTTTAAGTATAAATCTATAAGCATATTAAAAGTAAAAGATTGAGCTGGGCAGTAGTGGCCCATATATGTAATCTTAGCTACTTAGAAGGCTGAGACCTAAGGATCACAGTTCGAAGCCAGTGTGGTAAGTCACGAGACTTTTATCTTCCATAAACTACTAACACAAGCTGGAAGTGGAGCTGTGGCTCAAGTGCTAGACCATTACCCTTGAGCAAAAGAAGCTCAGGGACAGCACCCAGGCCCTGATTTCAAGTCTCAGGAATGGAACAAAAAATAAAAAAGTACAGGATTGACAAATATAGAAGGTGGGTGAATATGGTAAAAATACTTTATATGCATATGGGAAACTCAGTTCAATTCCCAGTATTGCGAGCAGGGAGTTACAATGAAACCCATTGCTTTGTACGAATAGTATATACTAATAATAACGAAAATGTTCATGCTTAGAAAAAAGTAAACTTATACAGAAAAGATTTAAATGTGTAAGAAACTTGGTGTGAAAAACTCTACAGAAGAATCAGGCCTAGTCAAAATCAGTAATTGGAACATGTAATGAAAAATATAGTTTTCAGAAAAGCAACAGTATTCAAAATATACCTAATAAATGCACAAGTTCCTCACAGAGACAACTATTACACCTTAAGAACACAATTGAAAGAAAAAAGCCTCAAATAGAATTGCATAGTATTTACCACGGAGAAAAAATACTGTGAAAACATCACATTTTCATTCCTTTGAGATTTACACACTATAGCATGACAGAAATCAACTGTGGAAAAATTAAAGATAAACACTAATTATATCAAGGAAGAGCAAGGCATAGTGATTCATAATTGTGACCCTAACTACTCTGCAAACAGGGGTAGCAGGATCACTAAATGAGTTGGTAAAATAACAAAATGGAAAAATAAACACAAGAAGCCTTATTTGAAAAGTAATTGCAAAAGGCACCATGAAGTGACATTAGTAGAATATTTGCATAAAAAGTGAGTGATCCTAAATTCAAAACTCAGTAATGTCACTGGAGGGTAAAATAAAGAAAAATACACTAAGATATATTATACATGTCTCTAGGTATTCACACAGAGTAAGACTAAAGGAGGATAATCTTAGAAACTAAGTGTAACAGAGAGATTCAATACCTATGTGCATCTGATCACATACAATAATATTAATTGAAATGAACTATCAGGAGCTTTTTTTATTTGCTACTTTTTAAATTCTTTTCCCTTTGTCTTGTTTGTTCCATTATCTGTCTTGGGGAGGGTAAGGCCAGCACAGAAATGGAGGGACAAAGGGTGTACAAATGTAGCAGTGGTACTCACTAAACACTATGTTGACAATTAATTATAAAACTTGTGGGTGGAGCCTGGAGGGATAAAACGGAGAGAGCCAGGGAAAGGGTGACATTGTTCAAAAAGAAATGTATTCTTTATTTGATTTGTGTAACTGTAACCCTTCTGCATATCACCTTCACAATAACAATAAAAAATGCAAAGAAAAAACCCCCAAAACAAACAAACCCCAACCCTCAGTACTGAAAACCAAAGTTGTCAGACTAGTGGGCTCAGGGACAATGTTCAAGCCTTAATTTAAGCCCCAGTATTGGCACCAAAAAAAAAGTCAAGACAACAGACTTGAGGGTGCCATTCACAAAAGAGGAGAAACCAAATACAACTCTAGTGGAACATTTTTGCGTGTTTGCTCATCTGTATATGTATGTATCCATTCTGCGGCTTGAACTCAGGGCTTGGGTACTGTCCCTGAGCTTTATTCCTCTCTACCATTTGAGCCACATCTCTAGATCTGGCTTTTTGGAGTCTCACAGACTTTCCTGCCTGGGTTCGTTTTGAAGCACCTTCTTCACACATTTCTCCAAACACCTAGGCTCTTAGGCGCAAACCTTTGGAAGGACTGCATAACAGCTATGCTAAGGATCCATCTTACTTTAGATTCACTATTCTCCAGAAAAAGAAATTCTTTGTTCTCATCCAGGAAAGAGCTGTCCTCACTAGAAGCAAAGCCAGAAAAATAATTTTTGCCATTTTTCTCGGAACTCTCCTGGGACAGTTCCATGCGTGAGGTTCTATTCCTATCATGAAATTCTCCAAGGAAGGGGAAGACTGGGTGGGGAAAACCTGGAGGACAACACCGGAAGGGGAATACCAGGAGGGGTACACCAAAAGAGGGGGGACAGAAAGCGGGGGAACAAAAAGAGCAGAGGAAGTAGGAGGACCGGAAGTGGGGGCCGGAAGTAGAGGACTGGTGTGGGAAGAGACAGGCGATGGAAGGTCAGATGTGAAAGATCGTGACTGCTGCTTCTCCAGATATTAAGGTGTGGTGCCTTGCTGTTGCATTGTGACTTCAAGTCAAGTGAGAGACTTCTCAAGTGTTTTCGGGGGCCTTTGTGAGTAATCTGAGTTAAAGCTGAATGAATCCTGTGTAATCTATGAAAATTGCATGGTGCCGATTCCTTGAAAGTACGGCCATCTTGGGCTCCTCCTCCTTATATTAAGTCTGAAAAGTCCGGGAATATTTTATTTAGGACTAAAGGCCATTTACTTCCCCCGGAAGGCTCAAGAAATAAAGGTCTTGGTTTGTGGCTTGTAGAATAAGGTCATCAGATGAGTAAATATCATATACCGTGGAGCTTAAAAGAGACCAATCGGCTGGTCGCCAGTGGTGGTGCACACCTGTAATCTAGCTACTCAGGAAGCTGTTATTTGGGGATTGAGGTTCAAAACCAGCCTAGGCAGGAAAGTCCGTGAGACTCTTATCTGAAATTAACCACCAGGAAACCAGAAAGTGGCGCTCGGCTGAAGTGGTAGAGTGCTCGCCTTGAGCTAAAGAGCTCAGAGACAGCGCCCAGGTCCAGAGTTCAAGCCCCAGGACCAACAAAAACAAAAGAGAGAGAGAGAGAGAGAGACCAACCGTGATAACTGACTCAAAAGTAGTTTGGAGGGGGACATAAGGAATTCCAACTATGACAGTTCTCCAACTGATCCAGGCAGATCGAAAAATATGTGTGCTTCTTTACTTGGCCTTCTGCAGAATTAGAGCATTAGGGGATTTCCTCTAAGAAAATGGAAACTGGTAAACATTGCAAAATTCTCAAATCATGCAAAAATTCAAGATGATGACTCTACTCATTATGGGGACTACACTGTGGGCAGGTGGCAATGAGGGTCCTTAAATATTTTACCTCTTGTCTAGGAATCCAGAATATCCCTGAAAGATGTTGTTGTATCAATGTGCTTCTTTACTGGGAGTTGGACGTAAAGTTGGTAATGTTATTTTCAGAGAAACAGAGAGAAGGGGGCTAGATATACTTCTTGCCAAAAATAGATAAATATAAATCAACACTGTTCTAAATCCAGAACAACAAAGCCCCATTGCCAGCCACTATAGGCCAACAAGTAAGCCTAGTGTCATGCAGTGACCTAAGATTTTCTTAACTTCCTCCACAGGATTCTCAGGACACAGGGACAGAACAGAAGAGGAGTCTGGTGAGTTCCTAAAGCAGTGTGATTGCAGAAAACTGAAGAAGGGGCCAAGGTAAAGCCAAATTACCCTCCCACTGATGATGGTAGTCACAAGCTGTCATTTCTCTACTCTAGGTTGTTTTTTTTTTTTCAGGTCTCCTCAGGAGCTCACTGGAGTCATCATGCCACGAGGACAGAAGAGTAAGCATCGCTCTCGTGCCAAGCGTCAACTGGCTCGTATTGAAAGACAGATTCTTGAGAATGCACAGTACATTGCAGAGGAGGCAGAGTCCCCACCCTCCTTTCCTACTGTTGGTGAGGGCGGTCCCTTCAGCTCC